CAGAAGTTCTGACCACCTAACGGGCATGGACTAGTAATATTAAATAATAAAATCATAAATCTTAGGAAATCTCCGTCTGCCAAATTCATTATTATATTGTTAAATTACATTTTTTTATGTAATAATATAAGCACATGCGTATATTCAGCAGCAGTTTGTCATAAGACATATCAATCCAAATTCCTCACAAGGCGCGGAGTTTCACAGAAATTTATATATACCAATATGTTATATGTATATATATATATATATATATATACAAATATATTATCCGTGGGTTGCGGGAGGCTGTATATAACGGCTGTAAACAACGCTCGTATAGAGCCTATATATCTACTAGTCTTGCCGATTTTGCCGATTTTACTTTTGACAGAAATGAATTATGATTTCAGTAATGATGTGATTAGAAAAAATAACTCGCGACACTCCGTGCTACACTGAAAGCACATAACCCATATATATAGTGTACTACGCAACTTAATTAATATAAACAAATAAACAAATAAATAAATAAATATATATATATATATATATATATACATATATATAGATATGTGTGTATATTATATAATGAATAAATGATATTAAAATAATATATAAATTAAATTAACATTGTACAGATATCTTTATAAGGAGAGTATACGTCTTATCCCTTCGATCAGAAGATGAACTCAATGCCATATTATTATACTATACATTCGGTGAGTGTTATTATTTATCAATGCTTTTTATTTACATATATAGGATATTATAATTATATATATATTAAATGGAGATAAGTGATATATATATAGGCATACTTATATATATATATATATATATATATATATATAGCTATATATATAATATATAGCTATATATATTATATTTATAATAATTATTGTATTATACGCGGTTAAATTAGTGTAAAATTAGTACTAATATAAAACTAAATATATGACCTCATTATGAGCATGCAATAATTAATAGTCTCTCGTTGTTCACGTTGTTATGCTCAGCGTTCATATAACTTATATTGATACGACGATGCATATAACCAAAATGTATATAATCAATAAAACCTGATATAACCAATCACACGTGCTAAATTTATAGTAAATATGCCGACAAATATAGGCCTGGCCATGATGCTCCAACATGTATTGGTACGTGTGTGGGCTCTTGATGTACGAGTCTACCGAACTGTAAACGCTTGATATAAATTATTATTATTGACCATGAGCGCGTATACGAGAACGTCTATTTCGAAATTGTGTATTAACTTACGAATATCATATATGTCGTCGCTATATATATATATAGAGTCGATCACAACCATGGAAACTTCGTAGTACGTATAACTCTGCAGCTCGATGGTAAACGTGGTACGCAGCAGTATAGCAATCACCTACATAAGTGCGGCACTGTATATATGCTGATGGTCTAGAGTCATTGATCGCCTACGATACCACAGCGAGCAGATTATTGCCACAAGGAAGAACCAATGGGCCGAAGCTTTCGTGAATTGTTGGCATCGATGCTGCTGGGAATTCCCCATTACTTACCCGGATTTTACGAGGACTGCTCCTGTAGATCGTGCTAAGGAGAGCCCTTCCCTCTTTTCCACCGCGTTTCACTGGTACGTGTCGAGCATCTACATCGATGCGTGGAGGGAAAAAACCGTAGCACGAAAAGGAAAGGGTGAAGAGAGTGCACTGCATGTATAGCAAAGCCGGTCACACACCCTGCGCCCAGCGCACGAAAATCAAATGGCCCAAAATACTGACCAATAACTGGACACTGTCCACCGCTGGCATAATGAGTCACGACAAAGCAAAATAAACCAGTGCGGCTATTTTCGGCCGGTCTTTGTGCCGGTGGCGCACTTGCCAAAAGGGTTAAAACTATAGGAGCGAGGTCACTCTCAGCCGATCTGGCATGACCGTGCGTAACAACAATACTTGCGACTGGTTCGCCGCACGGTTTTGTTTTAGGATAATGACCGTAGCTATTTCGGGGGTTAAGCTTTGTCCAATCACCGCGAAATTAAAACAATTCGCAAGAGGTCACGTTTTGTCTTCGCCGGTGAAATACGTGGACCCTCCGGAGGGGGGATATATACCTTCAACATCAGGTGTCTCTTTCATGGTTTTTCGAGGTGTAACCCCTGCCCGACAGCTGTCACAGGGGCCAAGAGATTCGGTGCATACAATCGGACGGCAGTAAAATCATTTGGAGATGGCACGGGCTTTGTCTCAGAAAGAGAGAGAGAGAGAGAGAGAGAGAGAGAGAGAGAGAGAGAGAGAG